GCCCCTCGATGCTAACGGGAAAAATATAGCATGAATACATATATATGTATATTGCAGTTAAATKTTATCGAGCTTGTGGTTTCGTCTGCACACGATACAATACAAAGGGTTGAATTATATAATAACATCAAAAATATCTCGACCGATTATGCGRTTCACCTTTAATATTATGGCAACGATGTCAGAATCGTCAATCGATCAGGTTGTGTTTTATAACTCATAACAAATAATCAGCGTCTCAAATAATGACCCWAAATATCCATTGGCTTCAAAATGATGTTGAATATATTTGTGAATTTTTATGTTAATTTAATATGCATTACTGCACCTATGATTGTATGGAGTAAAATTGTTTAAGCTTTATTATAATACGACGGGTTCGTGTCGTAAGTACCTAATCTCTAAATTTTCAATTTAAGCACTTTCAAAAGTATGTTACACATGAKAAAAGTCAGAAAAGAGGTATAGGTACAGACATTAATCCCCGACTTTTCGTTATGGAAAAATTAAGATCTTACTTTCAAGTGAGCGTTCCAAAGGTTGTACAACAAAAACGCTATTTTTGATATCTCTTTAATGAAAGTAAACAATGTATAGGTACTAGTTTACTTTCGTTTTTCAACCCTTATCAATCAGTTCGTTGATGTCTTGATGGTAGGTAATTTTTTTTCCTTGAATTRTTTTTCATATATTCCAAGCATGTTTTCTTATCTATAATGTGCATGACTTTACGAGTAAAAATGGATGTATACTAGAATTACACTATTTATAAGAGAAAAGATTTAAGCATCGGTACATCAAAAATRARAAATATTTTAATAAATATCTAGTAGCAGAGAACAATATTTATGTTTTTGACGAAGACTTCGATTTATTGATTTTCGTTAGCCTTATGATTTACTWCAGTCTGCAGAAATACCAATATTATATTATATAATTGTTATACAGTTATAAAATATGAAATAAAATGTGTAAGTTCTATATCTTTAGATAGTATTAATGTCTTATGTGTATGACAAACTTATTAGGTATCTGATGATCTCGATTACAGACTTACAATATTAAATAAAAATGTAATCTATATACATTGTGTTGATTACAATGTTCATAATTAATATATTGAATKTATCGATTAATATTATTATTTATTATGTTTGATTAGARGCTACTATGACACAATACAACTGAAGGTATTGGATACTTTTCAATATCTACGAATGATTTTATACTTGTTGTTTCTAATAATTATTATTGAAATATACTTCGCATAAATGTATTGTTATACATACATTTGAAGTATTTTTGCGTTGGCTTTATTATCATCAATAAAAGTTAWTATTATTTATTATTTAAAAAAGTGCATTTATTGTAAAATAATATTGCTTACAAATTATTGTAATATATTATTAAAAATAAACAACAATTAAAAAAATTAAATGTCTATTAATTTAGGCAAGTTTAACAATTTAATAACTTTAATGTTTTTATATAATAATATGTATAATTAAAATGCATTAATATAATAATGATTGTTATTATAACGTTTAAGCCTTGAGGTATAAATACTTCATTTTTATTTTTTTTTTTAACTAAATAAATTTAATATTTTTAATGACATTACATTTTTTTGTTATCTATTAACCAGAATTTGAAACGTGTTAATAATGTTAATGACAAGTCAATCACGTAAATCTTATTGTAATTATAACAGCTTGTTATAAGGTCGTGATTGTTGTATATATGATTATATTTTAGGTATTTTATAAAATATCTAAACAACATAGTTAAAATAGTTACTATCGATACTGACATATTTTAATGTTTTGGTTGAATAACGATGTTTGAATAATTTAATACAATATATTAATTATATATATATATTATTGTATATTATTAGATTATCAGTAGGCGTATATTATTGTTAGAAATTGAGAGTAGTAATTTCTTTTTCGTTTTTGTAAAATAATTTAATGTAACTCTCTATCACCATCTCAAGCATCACTTAAAAGCGGTGTATATATATATAATACTTTTGAAACTGAATATTATCAATATTATCATTTTTATTTTATTTAATTACTTAAGTATTACTTTAATTTTGTTATGTCCTAAAAAATAAATTTATAAAAACGTAGTATATTGGCTTTTAAACAATGTTTAGTATTTTATAACGAGTAATTGCTTTCATTCTTCACCGCAATATTTTCGTTTCTAACGTAAAGTGTATTAAGATGTTGCATGCCTACATGACACATCTTAGTTAATTTACTGCAAAATGTAGATTAGGTAGGTATAATAAATTGGTAATAACTATATTCAAGGGTTCAAGTTATTGGAGTTGCATATTGTTCTGTATGCTCTCGATTTATAGCAGACCACGCTAGAAATCCGAGGTATACAACGTTGAGTTTAAAACTTRAAAGTTAAAAATGTATATTTTGCATATTATTTCATTAATTTTGAGAAAAAGTGCCATATTTTAGTTTTCAATAATACAATTTGTTCAAATATAGGTTTTTAGATTTTGTTTCGTGTAGGTATATTAATTAATAACTAATACACTTTTAATAAAAAAAAAATATTATTTTCCATRTTTCACATATTTTCATTCATATATTATAATTTTTTGGTGCATATTTTGCATTTTTTGCTCCTATAACTTCCAAACCCTAGTAATAAGAATTAAATGTTTTAAAGTATTTCCAC